TCGGCAGAAAAGGTGTGGGGGAAACTAAAAAAATGGCGGAAAATTGGAAGCACTGAACGTTAGATCTATAGAACGAAGACACTTCCTTTTTTCCGGACCCGAGTCTGAATCCGAATAACGACGGCCTACGGAATTCACCTACTAAATTGGCTAAATTCATAAATAAATGAATAGATATATCTAGATTCTAGATCTAGCTCACTTGTCAATATCTGACGATGACCAAGCCTATTTCCGCAGAGTAGAATATATTCCCCAGCGAAATAAAAGAGTTTTTAGAAGAATATATTATAGTGTCTCCTATTTGAAATGCAGAATTGTGATTAGCCCCATGCTAAATAAAATGCAGTGTGTTGAATAGCCCCTGTACTAATTAAAACGCCGAAGCCCAGATCACGTGTGATTTCTGGTCAGGCGGCAAACTCAGCCTGTTGAACTGCATGTTGCAAGTTGATGTGACGTTTTCATAAACAGACGATGGCTGAACCTTTACTGAAAGTTGGAGAGGAATTTCCCAGTTGGGATGACTTTTTTGAAGCTGTTCGTTACTGTTCATAGATATTTGGAATCGACCCATCAGCCTTTTGTGAAGATTGGCTAGGGAATAATAAAATTGTGACTAGCTTCAAATGCATGATGCTGTGATTGGCAGATTGATGCTAAATTGGTCATCATAAAGATGCTTTCGATAGTGTCGTTTATCTCATAAAGTATTAAAAGTTTTATTACTAAGTTGAATTTCTTGAAACTGGTACATTAATATATTCATTAAATGTTACTTACTTACTTCACTACCCTACGCCACCTGGCGTTAAGAGCAGCAACAAAGGATCTCCCGCTCCGTCTGTTCTGGGCAATCTTGGTCATTACATGTGCTTTGATTTAATTACACTAGTAAAGCAACATGGATGTTTACTAGAAATTTTATACGTATCATGTCTTTAAATTTGTTAAAATATGGATTGCTGTCTGGACAGATGTGAGTATTTGTAGTTGCTGGCTGTTTTGGATCCATCTTTACGAGGTGACCAAACCATTAGAATTTCATTCCTTGGTTTTCCTTGTATGGGATGCTTGATTCTGTCCCTATTTAATTTGTCTGCTTATAATATCCTCGTTCCTTTGTCTCATTTTGTGATCTTAATGATTTTCCTTAAAAACATCCCGTCTCACATCTCTTGAATACGATGTTTATTTATTGGTCGTATTCAATTGCTTTCTCGCATCTGCCTCAGCTTGAAGACGGCATCCGTGCATCCCGTGTTTTTAAAAATCAGAAGCACACAAATACAAACAAACCAACATCATTTCTTCTTTCCCACACAGTGCAGACTCACAGACTGTATATTGTTTCTCTCCCTGGCAGGCCAATACATTCAAAAATACATGTAACTTCTCAACCGCTTGGGGAGTATACAGTACCGCTGCCTGTTAGGTGCTGAACACTAGCATTCTGACAAGATCTTTCTCTGCTTATAGCCATGTACTCATTTCACACTTGAGTCGAGTGAGGTAAGCAGGGCAAAGTGCCTTACCTAAGGACAATATTAATTTTATAGTAACCCACTGATCGTAGGTTCTCCAAAGGGGAGGTAAGGAATTAATATGTTGTACTGAACAATGGGCTTAGGACGGTAAAGTGCACGCATTATTTTTAGGTAGGGTATGGCGACACTGTGGGCAGGAAATAGGTCCTACCGCGTTGCATCGTATTGTTATTGTTATCCAGGCATCTTTGGACTTACTTGCTCAAACTCAAATTTATCATAATATGATGATTATCAGAGATGAACTAGACTACCTTTGTGCAAACGATGTCAGAAACAACTGTTAGACCAAGATCTACCCAATATTGATTTGAATAAGGCATCGTTATAAAAATGGAGTGAAGTTCTTGGAGGTTTATTCCAGAAACTGAGAAAGCTTCCACAATTCAGGTAGTGGAGCGATGAAAAGTAGGTTATTAGATGGCTACTATAGCTCATTTTTACTTTCGTCTGACTGCGGTTTTTACGGGGTAAAAACAAATCACTCTGTTTAATCTTTCTGGGTCTTTGCGTACGAGTCTCAAAGTTAAGCGACCAACAGAATCTTAAAACCCATTCATAAAAGTCACTGCAAACTAAGGTTCTGACATGTTTTCTTTGATGTAAGATGTAAGCCTAAAGCAGATAAAAAAAATTATACGGGATTTACAGCATACCCCTAAAACATTTGAAAGTTGACATGTATTCCTCAACACCACTCTTTAATGTTCGCCGAAGAAACAAGATTCAAGAGATGGGATGAGTATTTTTCGAGGCTCACATGGAGACGTCTAGACAGCCGAGGGATGAAATTGCCAAGCTTACACTGTAATGTGGGGACAGGATGGTGTCGCTGTCTCAAAATGAGCAATTTGTTGCAAGGCTACTGTAAGTCAGTCATTTATCTTAGTGATCCTGTTTTAGCATTCAAAGAGCGGTTTTTAATATAGTGCCCAAAGAGAAAAACTTTTTTATTAATGGGTCAAGATTTAAAAAAAAACAATTTTGTTTGGTCGCTGGTCCGCAGAAGTGCCATGCAAAGTTTCATGGGCTTAGGTAAATTCCTCAATGATCTTGAATTGTTTTGTGAATGTGAAGGCACAGTGGAGTCGCTTTCACTTCATCATCTCCTCACCAGCACCAAACAGTCACCTGTTGGCTGACGCTGAAATTTAGTTAATGTAATTACAGTTGCACAAGACAGAGTGGGAGCTGCTCTCTCTCCCTACACCATCACCAACTGCCCATCAAAAATAGTTGTGGCTTGCTAATTTAGTGCAGAGTTGAAATCTGAACATGGAATACGGTCATCCATATCTCTGCGCAATACGTCAACTGCTCAAAATGCAGCACATCAAATTATAGTAAATGTTAAAGCAAATAATATACCGCCACGGCACGGAGCCTTCTGTAGAATTGAAATCCTTCATGTCATTCATGTTTCTCAGATTTTGTGAACAAGCTATAGTACTGGCATTTCATATAGCACAGGGCTAATTGGAATGTGCTGTTGTGATTAGCACAGAAGCTATTCAGAACGCGACATTTCAAATAACGTCAGCCATTTAAAAGGGCTTGTGGCTTCTTCTGTGGCTTACTTACTTACTACCCGTCACGCCATCTGGCGTTTAGGGCAGCAAAAAAGGATCTCCAGCTCTGTCTGTTTTGGGCCATCTTGGTCAACGTCCTCCACGAATGGTCCCAGGACTTCATTTCAGACTCTACTCTGTGTCTCCAGGTCACTTTGATTCTGCCCCTCTTGCGATGTCCTTCGGGTGTCCAGTGGAGGGCAGTCTTTACTGGAGAGTCTGGTTTTCTTCTCAGAACATGCCCAATCCATCTCCATCTCCTCCTTGTTATTATGGTGGTCTTGTCCTCTTGCCTACATTTCCGTGGAAAGAAGATAGCTTGGCATGATCATGATCAGTCATCCTCCAGCATTCAGACCCATATAGGAGTGTGGATAGTACACAGCTGTTACACAGCTTTAACTTGGTCTGTATACTGAACTGTCCTGACTTCCAGATGTTGATCATGCTTCTGTGTACAGATCTTGCCTTGCCAAGTCTGTTCACGATGTCCTCCTTTGTGCGGCCGTCGGTTTTAATTATGCTGCCTATGTAGGTAAATTTGTCTGTTATAGGCAGGTCTGCGTTTGTTCGGTGGCCGATGAGACTAATTCTGGCAGAGAAAAGATTACCCCCAGGGGCGGTGCCACTGACTAAAGTGTCTTTAGGCCATTCCCAAAGGGGGGACAAAATGGGCTGATCTAACAATGTCATGCTCATAACTGTGCCTGAACTACAACAGGGAACTGCTGCTTTTTCTTTCCTAATCCTTACTATCGTCATTTTCCTCTACTTCTTTTGTATGTTTGTCACACTCTTGTGACCCGCGATTTCCGAGGTGCCTTGATAGTCGAAGCAGACTTTGTGCTGCTGAAGCTAGAGAGGTGGGCAGAGTAAGTCTGATTCCCTGTAAGGAATTCTTTGTTGACATCCGCCCCTTGGCGCTCATATGACCTTATGCAGTTGCGAGCACCGTAAAACTTCTACTAAAACAGAGAAAAGATTGCCACATTTTGAACATTTATAAGCTCCACTTTCACTTGTAGATGTGTGCACAGCTTATGGGCTTCTCTCTTATTTTCAGCATTTTTTATTGTGAAGCCTCATGATTTGCTGCCCACTGTAACTGCTGCTCTTCAGCTGGGTCTGTCAGGTGCTAGGCTCTCCCACTTTGAAATATTTATTATGTTCAAGTCCTTCAGAGACATTTTCAGCTGAGTGTCTTCGTACTTTGTTGTGCTATTTTGATGCTCCAATCTTACTTCCCTGAGGACAGTTCAGAATGGCTACTGCCTGTGGAATTCTGAAATCTGGCATTTTTACAACATGGCCAGCGGAGCGCAGTTGAGTCCTGTTGAGCTCAGAAAACAGACTGTCGGCATTTGCCATTATAAATGCGATGACGTTTTTGTAAAGTAATATTATTAGAGTATATCATATTATTTATAATGCATATTTTATCAAAGAATTTTATTAGAAGAATGAGATTCAAGATTCAGTTTGTAACATGCCTTGTAGTTTTTGTTGCAGAATTTGCTAGACAGACTTAATTTCTAATTAGTGTGGTCACTACTCGATGGTAAAATGCAGATGAAAAGCTATACATTTTGGACAGGAAAAGGGGAGGAGCAGTAGGTTCTGCATAAATCTTGAGACTCAAAATAGGATTATAAGTAAGAAAAGCATGCCTCATGCCACTGTGATTGGTCATCAAGGTTGACCACTCTTTATTCCCCATAAGTCATATAAACCCAACCAGGGGCCAGGGCAGTTCATATCAGAGTGAACAGGGACTATTTCACTGATTGTGGGTTTTAATTTATGAGGCATCGTGGATTTTTCCCTTGATGTGTCAGCTAAGATCCCGTTCAACTTAGATCCTTCATTTCCCTTGCTCCCAAGCACCAAGATCTTAAGGGGAGACTTATGAAAACATTCCTTTTTTGACAGATGCCCATACAAGCTGAGACGTCTGTGGCAAAATGACATCAGTTCGTTTCCTTTTGCCGCTCCCCCGCTAGTGGTTGATGTGGATGGTGATGGAGGTTTGGATGTTGTTGCTGCACCCTTTGGAGAGGCTTTGACTGTGATTGAGGGAGAGACGGGGAAACACCTCCACGATACCAGCTGGCCTCAACATAACTTGGATAGATCTGTGCATTCCTCACCACTACAAGTAATGCAATCAATGATTTTTTATCATTATCTTTTTGTGGCTTTTTTTGGTTAGTGTACCCCCCCCCCCCCCCCCTCCCTATAAATTGCAATGTTTTACACTATCATTCACACAGTTTAGATCTTTTAAGAGGTAGGCTGCTTTGACCATGCCTGTCATGGCCAGCTCATGCTGAGTGGAATGCAACATCTCAGCAGACAAATCGTCGCCTCAGAACTGTTTTGTCCAAAGTGCCCTCTTTACTTAAGTACACTTTGGACAAAATGTTCTGATGCGACGAAATGAAGATACTGGATTATTAAAAAGTTCCCCATTGGTGAATGGAACTTACATCTTCTGCTTTTAGCAGCAAAGAGAGTCACTGTTACACCACAAATGCTGATTTGTTACTTTTTTCCACTGTTGAATTATTTGATAGGACTGAGTGGAGAGCCTTAATCACCAATGTCTGTTCTGGCTTTTCTTTTCTTTTTCTTTTTTAAAATTCCATTTTATTGTCAACTGGGTCATTCAATTTTCTGTTTTTTCTCATACTTTACTGACGAAAGTGTCTCTTAGCTGTTACTTTTTCATACTGATCTGTACTAATTCTATTTCAGTATGATGTTGATGGAGATGGCCTATTGGATCTATTATTTGTCACCTCTCAAGCTGAAGGATTATTTTACACTGGCAAGGGGCAATCTCTTCATCAGTTTACTTTTCAGGTATTTTTATTTTCAATTAATTATAGAAGCCTATTTGACATTGTGTATTTGATAGCGTTTTGATGCATTAATTTTGATGATAGTGTTTTTACATTGGTCATTTGGTAGTTAACTGAAGGATTACTTGACCCGGGAAAAGGGTACACTCTCTATTTTTCTTTTCAGAGTTCTTTTTCCTTACATTCATAATAAAAGCCAATTAGACATAGTCTATTTGATATTGTTTAGAAATATTCCGTTTGATAGATTTAGGTTTCTTGTTCTGGCTTATTTAATTTAATTTCCAGTTTAGCACAATAATGACATATCTGTTGTGAGACATTGAGTTTGAGCTATGAATCTATTTTCTACCTTTGATAATCTTTTTTCACTCTGTATAGGCTTTCACAAAAAACTAGGTCATGGGCTTTTTTTTTAGAATGACACAATTTAGCCAACTGCCAACCAAACAAAACGTTTTGTCACAAATACTCTAATGCTGCACTGATAAAGATGCTTTGCAGATTTTGGGTTGATATCTTTCTTTTTTTTTTTTTACTACTTCTGTGAAGATTTTTTTACCTGCATTATTATTCACCCCTCATAGAAATTCTCTTTTTGAGCAACACTTAAAAAGAAACTTATTATGAGATTTTTGTTTGTCTGCTTCTTCTTTCACAGCTCCAGCCAGCTTATGTGAAGTCAAACTGGTTTTCAGAAATTTCCAGTGTTGATCATCGGGTTATCCATCAGTATGTTACCAGTAAATATGTAAGTCATTCATAGTGGGGTTTTTTTTGGTGTGTGTAGTAAAGAAGTTATGAATTATATCTCTGTGAAAATAGCAACGAGGTTGTTGTAATAAGGCTCAGCACAAGTTACATTTTTTTATGCGGAGACGCTAAATACAAGCTTTTAATGATCTTCTCAAATGATCCAGTCTGTTGCAGCTTCAAAGTTAATAAATGTCTCTGAATGTATGCTTTCTGTCTTCTTGTTGCGAAGAAGAAGAACAAGACCGAGTTAAATGCAGAATGTGGCCTCATAGTCAATGCATGTTTGATAAGAAAAAGGTATTACTAACCTGGCATCAGAAAAAGAGAAATGGGAAAAAAACCCTCCAAAAGATGAAAATCGAGGAACCGAGATCTGACTTATTGTTCTAATTCAAAGAGCAAATCTGGTTTAACATAATGACTCCCCGTTTATTTTCCTTCTAGTCTTACATTCTTTGAAAAGTTCTCAGCGTTTTTGTATTCAGCACTGTCACTGCGGCATTGTGCTTTACACTTCCCATGGCTAACCAGTTCCATTGTATTTTATTTGTGGCCTGTTCTGAATACTTTAGTGATATTCTTAATGATAGAAGGTTAAATGAAAATGAAGTAGAATTCCACTTTAAGTGACCCTTCTGAGGGAATTTGGTTTTTCAGTGGCAAATGTACGTACTTAAATACCCGATGCAGCACTATTTTTTGAGTAGGGGTTATAATGTTTTGCTCAAGGACACACCCCAGTGACCATCCATTTGAACGCCATGCCACTGATGTATATTTGGCTTTATTGTGAGCCGGAAAACACAAACCACTTAGCCTTTGGAGGCTCCACCCACAGTATAGACATAGAAAATTAGTGTCTCTGAGAAAGTGGTTCCCTCACTCCTTGGAATGAATTGACCGAAAGTCTAGAACTCACTGAACTATGGCTAATATTAGCAAGTCAATCACCCTAGACTAGTAATTTTTTAGAGCCGCCGGAGGGCACCACCGGTAGATCCAATTTCTTTTATTTCCTTCTGTTGTTTCTGTCGTGAAAAGTGGAGGCACTTGACGAGGCTCTCTATCATACAGCGCCTCTATGATCCTCATGGATTAGGGGATCAGTGACAGTGTTTCTGTCTCTCTGTCTTGCTTTTTTCCTGCACTATTTGTCTGTTATTAAGTAAATGTGCTTCTGTTGACTTAGGGGTCTTCAAACTTTTTTCAAAGTGGGCTGGATAACTGAAAGACTGCCTAGCGTGGCCCGAATAACTAATTTATTTGATACAGTACACTGAATACACATAAAAGATAAAAGCAACGGACCTATTGATTTATTAATACGCAAAATTGCAAAATGCACAAAAAGTAAACTCAGCTAAGAAATATTATGGTTACCAAAAAGTCAACAAATTGATTAATATTGTAATAAGACAGTTAGGTCAGACTCAGACTTAGTGCACGCATCTCCCAAATTGTATTTGCCCACGTGGTGGCAGACCAGATGAATTTACCTTACTGGCCGAATCTGACCCACGGATTGTAGTTTGGTGACCCCTGCTCTAACTAAAAACTTGTCAAGAGAATGGAGTCTATGCTTTTGTCTGCTTTTCTTTACTAGTTCAGTTGTTCCTGGTGGTAAAAATCACTCTTTTTTTTTTTTCATGACATAATCATCCTTGTGTTGATGCACATTTAACTTTTTGTGGTTTACATTCTTTGAAATAGACACCCAATTGTTCAACTGCTTGTGTACTGAATAACTTTCTTTTGTTTTCATTCTTTTGCATTGAGTGGAAAGGAAAGTATAGGCTTACTGCTAATGGTGGCTCTGACACACTTTACTCTCTAGAAATGAATACAAGGCTGCAGCTTAATGTCAGTGGTCTATATTCATTATAGCCAAGATTATCGTTAAGGAAATCAGGTCAGAGGAACAAGGTGCACGCATTTGTACTGGTTGGGATAGACTGTAGCTCTTGCTTTTTTATTTTGCGCCAGTTTTGATTGAGTGTAACAGGGATGGGTTACATGCAAGAAAAAGTCCATCTATTTTTCATTTGTTATCTATGCTTAGTTTGTCAAAGTACAGATTGAGCCAGTTAACCCATTTTATTTTGTATTTGAGATTTGATCTATATTCTTCTACCATACATGGTATACTGTGAATGACTGGATGATTAGAAGGGGAAACTAATTACTCAAACTGGCCTCTAGTTTTACTCTGTGGTAGGCCCAAACACGGAGCATCGCACTTGAGATAAAACATTTTAAAAATATTTATCAAACAATACTTTGAAAATCCATAAACTACTGAACCAGCAAGAGATTAAATTCTTTTCCTCCGAAACGTTTAGTATATGTTTCTTGTAAATACAACCTTTTTGTGATTTTTATATATGAAAATGATCAAGTCAGGTTTCACTAACACCCATGATCCATTTTTAGTGACTAGTAAAAGGTCCTCTGTCACAGAAACCAGACACCCAGATGAGTGGGGGTAGGTGGTGTTGGGTGGGAGAATGAGGGAGAAAATAGACAGTTGGCTTACAGGTTTGTGTAACAAAACCCAGCTGTTTCGACTCTTCCTCTGTAATAGTGTGAGTGAGTAAGTTAGTAAGTTTATGCCTATATCAGATCTTGGGTTGGGGGGGGGGGGGGTGGAGAGGCTGTTACGAATCAAACTCTTTTATTTTATAGTGTGAGTGAGTAAATCTGTGCTTATGTAGGCCTTTGGTTGAGGGGTGAGGCTGTTTTGAATCACCTTCTATGATAGTTTGGGTAAGTCTCTTCATGTCAGACTTTTAAATGTTTGGGGAGGGGGGGGGGATGTAGAGTCTGACAGGCTGTTTAAAATTTTCTTCTGTGATAGTCTGAGTGAATAAGTCTATGCAGGTGTATATCCCGCCTTAGCTATTGGCAGGTTATGCATAATGATGGATGAAAGAAGAAATTGAGCCTTTGTTCATGCAAATAATGTAGAAAAGTCTCTCATGTGACCCAAGAACGTATTTGACTGAAGCATGTTTTTAAAACATTATGTATTTAGGCAGACATGCCCACAATTAAGAAATGAAAATCTGGAAGTGGGAAGACATATCAAGACCACAGGGGGAAAAGGGGAAGGTAGTCATAAAAAGAAAATCATGGACCAGTGCCATTATATTACAAGGACGTATGAGCAACTGCCGTTCTTCCCCTATGTGGCTGTTATAAATGAGTCATTAGTGTGTTACTTACGCCTTGTTTGATAGAAATGCATAATGAAATTTTAGAAGAATAAATTGAACCTCTAAACATGCAAATAACATAGGAAAGAATCTGTGGTATGAAAAAATAACGTATTTGAACTAAGCATTTTAAAAAACTCATTGTGTATATAGCCAGTGGCTACACTTCATAAAGAAGATTGTGAGTAATGAAAAGCATTTCAACACAACAACAGTCAATTAGTGTCAGGAAAAGTAATATAAACAGATTGAGAGACTATAGAGAGACTACAGAAAGAAAGGAAAGAGATAGGGCCCCCTTCAACCCCCAGCCTATAAAGAAAGGGAAAGACTGAAAGTTTGTGACTGGCGAGAAGACATATCTAAAGCCTGAATCTTTCAAAGAACCAGCACCATCTAAGAATCGTTCATTCATCCCTATCTTATTTATGACCTCTCCTTTAAACGTATTTATTTTATCATAAAAGCTGGCATTTGATGGCATGTGCTGCAGCATTAACTAACACACTTGTTTTTCTAATGATATTTCTTTCCCCTTTCTAATATCATTACAATATCATGTACGTGTCCAAGGCAATCAATACCTCCAGTTTCCCAGAGTGTCGCTGTAACTTTATATGATGCTTATATTATTATAACTGAAAGCTAAACGGTGACAGGTGGTCTCAGGGAGGATGATTCCCTGACCCATCTCATGCTGTGATGACTGAGTCACACTGTCTATATATGTTTTTCACAATAGTAGTATGTAATTGAGCAAACTAGATAAAGTCATGAAGCTACATCCTGGTTCTCAATAGAATATGCATGAAGAGGGCAGCAACTGGGGTTTCATGTATATTTTATTGAGTAGCAGGATGGGTAGATTCGTGACTTTATCTAGTTTGCTCAGTTGTTTCCTAATGTGAGGGAAATAGGCAGTGACTATACTATACAGACATATACAAATATAGACACCTGTCCAAGACAACCACCCACTGTCAAGGAAAAAGTGGTATCATAGATAGGTAGTCCTACTGGAAAGTGTCATTATAATGAATATTTAGAAATAGAATGCAAAGAGGGGAGGGAAAAGTGGTCGTTTGTACAGGTGTTTGTCTTGGACAGGTGGTCGTTAGAACAGATTTGACCTGTGTATAAATGATATGTGGTGTCGTTGGTCTAGTGGTTAGGCTGTTGGATCCATAAATGCAAGGTCATGAATTTGAACCCCTTCACCTGCTCGATGTTGTATCCTTGGGAAAAGCACTTTACTCTAATTTTCTCACTTCACCCATGTGAGAATGGGTACTCGAAAGTAGGGGAACAGATTTTGTCTGTTTATTATTGGTTTGCTTAATCACGGGAAGCCAAGAATGTTTTTCAGTGTTCTACAGTCAGTTGGGGTAATAACAGAGTTGTAAAATGCATGGAGCATGCTGCAGGGCATAGACGTTTGCTATATAAATGCAGTAGTTATTGATTATTATTATTAAGTGCTTAGAGCCACCAAAAAGCGAGCGCTACAGAATGAGCTTTTTTAAATACATAAACATAATTTTAAAGATAAAAACATGAAGCATATATTTATATGAAATATAATATCATGTAAATTAATATTGTCGTATATCATATATTACATGTATATCTGTCATAGGCGATCAAGGTACACTGACAACACTCTCCTAATTGTTGATTAAGTGAACATAGCCTTGACTAACCATATGAAAAGCAAATGAAGTTAGGGTGGGGGTTATGTTAATGGAATAATTGCATGATTACGTATGTATGTACAACACTAGTAAAAAAAAACCAACCTCCTGTTGAACCCATTTCATTATAAAGTATCATTAGCTGGTTCCATAGACTTGTATTCCTAGATCGAGCACTGTCATGGTCACTGCTCTTTGCTCTCTAGAAAAACTCTGCTGAGAAGGGTGCGGAACATGGGTCACAGCATTACACCCAAATGAAGGGCAAAACATCAGTCTTTCATTGGTTATGTCTTTGCGGTTTCTTTCTACCCTTGTTTTTCATTTGACTTAAATTGGGTCTTGTGTGCCCTCCATAGTGAACCTGAAATATACCAGGGTGTACGAACTATTATAATATAATGCCATAGCTACCAACCAGCACGTAAAAAATGTATTAATAGTAATTAAATGTATTTTTGAGGGTCTGATAAATGAAGTTCTTACAAAACAAAAATGTGTTCTCTGTTTTCACAGTTTTCTAGCATTGCTCCGTATGGACTAGCCAATACTGTAGAAAATTTATGAATTTTCAAGATGGCATTTGGGAATAAAAATGAGAAAGAAACTCATAAGTGGTTGTTAATCCATAGTTTGAGATCTTTACCAAACATTTCTCACATTGTTGCAGGTCTGCTTTGAACAGCTTGAATTTATTGAATACAAAAAAGTGTGTGTAAAGGGTTTGGAGGGGGATTACTGGGCCAATGTAGGCCATCTTTACATGCTGTGTGGGTAGAGTCTGTTTTTATGGTTTTGAAAAGTTGGCAGCTATGTAGGCCAACTACAAGTTTATGGCTGGTCCTCAGCTGTGCTTCAAATTAGCATGTTCTTTCTGCATGTCATTTAATTATCGCTGTAGCAAAACTTTTGCTTACTCAGCTTCCGCTATTCAGTCACACTTTAGTATGAACATTATTATAGAGAATCGTGTTGATGTGATAGGGGTCTTTTAGTGCAGGGATAAAGAAAGACAGACTGACAGAAACTACAGAGGGAAATAAAAGAACCAGACCTTCCAGTTGTCTGCTCTAACCACTTGCTGGGGTTATTTGCTTAAATGAAGAGCAATCTAACATTAAAAATTTCATGTAATGCATGAGTTTGCCTCTTGGAAAAAAAATGCATATGTACATGCATCTTATGTTTAGAGAGTTAGAGAAGGGGTGGGCAAATTACAGCTCCAGGCCAAATGGGGCCATCCAAGATGTTTTGTGCAGCCCACGGAAACACTCTGCAATTCAAAGAAATATCTTTATACATGCGTTTATTCCGTAAATACCATTATAATACTCAAGCCAAGACTTAATTTTTATAGTGTCATTGTATTCTAATCATTGAATGACAATAATGCACTTTATATATAGGGGGGTCTCGTGGCCTAGAGGTTAAAGTGTTGGCCTCTCATTCAAGAGGGAGGTCCCGGGTTCAAATCCGGGTAGCGACCGAAAAATTTTCTTCTCTAAATTTGTCTCCTTTCACCTAATTTCCTGCTCTCTAGCAATGTTCTGTTGTCTGCTTTCGTCTCCTCTTTCTGCCCCCACCCCTTTACCTCCTTTGCCCCTTCATTTGGGCTCCTGATTCTTTCTGCAGCCTTTCTACTGCTATTCCTTCGCTTCTTCTTACTGCTGTCTTCCAGCCACACCCCTGATCTTCTGGTAGGAAAGATCTACACCTAGCTTTCTCGGACAAGGGTGAAAAATCTCGGAGGGCCTGTGTGCAAGTTGTGCACGTTAAAGATCCCTTGGTGGTCTAAAATCGATAAGAGTAGGCTTCGGCTGCCACCCAGGCAAAATTCAAAATTTCCTACCAACTGAAAATATTAGGTGTGTCCCGCGCGCTCATAAGACCTTATGCAGTTGCGAGCACTGTAAAACACTTTACAAAAACAAAAAAACTTTATATATAGTGCATTTTTCCAATAAAGGAAAAGTAAGTTTACATAGCCCACCATGTCCAGTTTTATAAGATGCTGCCCTTTGCTGTTCATGGCCCTTTTGAAGTGACCCCCGATCTAAAAAAGTTTGCTCATTCCTGGTTTGGAGGGAAATAATCGTTGAAACATTGAAGAGACTGTCAAGGGAAGTAATAGCAACAATTGTCCTGATTTTTAACAGTTTTCCATAAGTATGATAAATAATAAATACACACTTCGCTTAACTCTTAGTATAAGGAAGGTTCTTCTACATTTGAACGCAACCAACTTTTCAGCAGCACAAACTTCCCCATTACTCCGCTCCTTTTTAACCTTTTTGCACTAAGTAAACACCAAACTGAGAGTAGAAATGAATGCTCCATGCAATAAACATCCTGTTTCATCATAGTATTAAAGGATAGATGGATTTGCTGGAGTTTTGTAGACTTATGTTATGACTGTAAACAACTGAGCTGTGCAGTTTGCCAGCTGAAGTGGCGTGCTGTATACTAAGAGTTAACCCTTTTACTGGAAGGAGTTATTTGTAATACAAATACTATGAAAGAGCCTAAGACTGTTTGGGGCCAGGGCATTGAAGGGGTTAAAAAGCACCCCGAATGAATCCCACAAAAGTGCACCCCCAGTGCTAGTTAGCAGTGACTGTTATTGAAGTAGTTTTTCCCTCTTTTCTTTTCTTTTTTTTTAACTTATACTCAGTGGGTGGTTGGAGGATGCCACTGGTAGGTCCTTCTTTTCTTTCTGTCTGTTGTTTCTGTCTATCTTGCTTTTTTCTGCGCTAGATGTCTATTATTTTTTATGTGCATTTTTGTACTCAGACAAAGAGTACACACATACACTTAAACACAAACATACACGCACATTCTTTCACTGCCTATGTAAACATTTCACAGAAACAGCCAGTCAGCTGTACTTTTTCTCTTTGGTCCTAACTTGATAAACTTTTTTTGGTTGTAATTTTTTGTTTTTTTGTCTCTCAGCAATCCCAGCTGGTTCCTGTAGATGCTCATGTGTTAAGTACCCCCGTGCTGCATGAGATGAGATTCCTCATTCTCCCAGTGTCCTATTTCTTCTCACCTGATGACTACGAGTGAGTACTTCATGCGATAGATTCCTAACAGAGAAAGAGAAGCACAACATTGTCGTTATAATGTTTTTGAGGTGCCAAATGTTGTCACTCAGTTGAAAAAATAACGCAACAGTGTTAGCCCTTGTATTATTGATAATTTTAAATAATTTTTTGATGATGTGAGTCCAAGAGACACAAAATATGAAATAATATAATTTGCTGTTACAAATAAAACAGGATGTCAATGATGGTGTTAGTTGAAATGAGGAAGGTGAAATCAAGATCTTGTTACTCTGCTGCTTCTGCTTCTGCTTCTGCTTTTTTGTTGCTACTTCTGCAGCCTTATCAACAATTCAGAGGTTCTGAAAAATGAACACAGTGCATTTCTGTTTACTGAACAAGAAGATATGTCTCAGTAATATAGTGACTTTATTAGTATGCTTCTTGTTCGAAAATATGTAAGCCTTTACTATATGTGGGGCCCTCCACGTGCCCGCTATTTCTATAAGATAAATGGACACAACATATTCTTATGATCTGAACATCCACAGTCTCACAGAAGCTGGTGGCCCATGGGGAAAAATTGACACGCGAGATAAATACTTCGTCACTGCTCTAGTCGTGTTAGACCTTAAAAAGTTGGCCCTAACCAAGATGTTGGGGGAGGATCACGGGCAGAGTCCGGAGTTTTATACCAACACCATATACTTAGAGCTGAAGCAGGTGAGTGGCAACTTGTTTTGGTACAGTTCTGTGAGTTTGTGGCTTTAATACTGCCTTTTTTGTCTGCTTTTTTTAGGGAGGGGGTGGGGGTCATTAACACATGTGTCATGACACATTGAAATCAGGCACTCATCAATTTTTGTACATATGGAGTAATTGGTTACAATATTTATTAATGCTCGTTCATTTGTCTGCTTTTGATTAAAAAAGTGCTGATCTATTTGAATAGCAGTCGAGATATGATCTGTTAAACGAGGGGAAAAATCTGGATGGGGCTTCTCAGCAAGAGTGAGTGGATCATTTGGATCTTCACCCCGGGCCATGCTGGAGTCAAGGGCAATGAGCGGGCTGATGAGCTCGCTGGGAAAGCAAAACCAGAAGGGAAGCTGTGCCCTGACAAACATGAAATTGTACGGTCAGTCAAGGAAAAAAATAGAAAAAGAACAAGAAGAGACGGAATACCATCATCTTGAGCGACTTCGTGAGCTTGAAATTGGATGGGGACGGAGCGCTTATGGGAATGCCCCTTGTGCATTGATGTCGGTCCTTCACACAAGTAAACAAGTTATTCATATGTAAAACATCGCCAGTTGAGAAACTTGTTGGTTATCTTGCGAAATAAGGAATGGGTGACCCCATGTGTGCCAACAATAAAGGCCGGATCGAATGAGTGGAAAGTGTGTGGCATGCACAGACAAACAGAACGCATCATGCGATAGGCCAGCCTTGTCTAGATTATATAGGCCTACCATGCCTCTCACTTCTCCGATGCGGGGACGGAGAGGTCACAATGCTATACTGTGATGAACGGAGCGAATGTGTGACATAGGCGGGGTGTGGTATGTTCCCATTGTACGTAAGCAGACAGAACGCACCACAGGGTGTGGTGGGGTGGGGGACAACACAGCAGGCGAGTTAACCAAGAGAACTTTCTTTCTGATCGTCAACATCGCTAGCGCTAGAGAAAGAAATCTAATTTGATTTTTGATCAAGTAAGACTTAAAAGTCATGTTGAACCAAATGATCATCATCAAGGGAGATTACCAAAAAAAATATACTGAAAACCAGACTCATAAATTAGGCCTACTTTACTATTTCATTTGAATTTATTACTGGATCCCTTATAACGAGAATCCTGCTATAATGGACATTTTGCACCGGTCCCCTCTCTCTCGTTAAAACAGGATTCCACTGTATCCCTGTAGCTCTCAGTGCGGCTTGGCCCTGACAGGCAGGGTTGAAACCAGCCTCCTAAATGGTCTAGATTGTGTTGATTGGGGTATAAAACACCTACATTAAAAAAAAAATGTGTTCAGATTTAAAAGTTCAATTTCAATATTCACTCTTTGAGCCATGCCCAACCAGAAACAGGAGGGTATGAAAGGCCATCATAAAAAAAAAAAAAGAATTAATGTGTTTAGATTTGATAGTTCAATTTCAACATTCATCCTTTGAGCCATGTCTAACCTGAAACTAAGACCTGTGCTCCTGAGTTCTTGTATGTCAACTGCAAGAGTTATCCCATGTACGCTGAGATCTGTGTTGAGTGTGCAGAAGGGAAAAGGAAGTTGCACTAAGGCATGTTTTGTGACAGCTTCCTTTTAGAAAAGGGAAATAAGCTAAGGATGTGTCCTAACACTACATCTTTTCTGCCCACATACAACAAATAATCAGCGGGTGGTTGGAGGATGCTCTGGTAGGTCTTGCTTCCTTTCTTTCCCTCTGTTAATTCTGTCTGTCAAACTTGCTCTTTCCCAATAGTTTGTCCTCAGAGGAATTCGCGCTCGCAACCCTCAACTTGCACGCGCAACTTTTGCCCTCAGCGTAACTTTTGCACAACTTTTGCCATTTTCGTGAGTTCGCCAATTTTAGCCAATTTTCCGCAAAAATTGGGAAAATAAAATTTCGTTAATAACAGTAGAAACTTTCTTCCACGACTGAAAATGACAACAAGGGGGACAATTCATACCAGAAATACCTCCTTGTTTGTCTCCTTAATCCTGTTTACCCGTTCAAGAAGCAGATTGTTGAAAGAGAGAGGCATTTACTTGGACTGAATCATCTTCTAGCTAGATTTAGATCTGCAGTAAATCAATCATAAACACGATGTTGTACCATCCCTTTCTGGTGTGTCTTTGCTCCACATTTTTCCATACGCACATCTGCAGACGTGGAGAGAAGCTTCTCTTTCTACAAATTGTTGGTTAACTGTAGGCGCAGGTCTCAGTCTGAAGAACATATGTTAGGACACTAAATCTGTATTTTTGTGAAAGTGCTTCTTTTTACTCAAAACAAATTGCAGATAATGAAGGAATTTGGAAACAGAAATAAAAAATGTCTGTATTATTGCTTGCCAGGTTTTCTCAAAGCTCATTCTGAATTTTTAGGTAAGAATATTTTTTTTTCTTTTCTTTTGCCTCAGAACGCATCACACCTGCTGTTCTCACCTGTTGTTGCTGACATAGACGGGACTTCCAGCGCACCTGAAATCGTCATTGGCACTTCCACAGGGAATGTTTACGCAGTGTCTCTTGATGGGAAACACAGGAAGGGCTTCCCCAAATCTTTGGGGCCTTTGTCGGGAAAAGTGAGTTTTTTCCCGTTATTCCTTTCCTATTTTATGTTTCATTTTGCTTTTAGCTACGTTTGTTGGAGAAAGTGAGTCTTCTTCCTGCCTAGTATGAATTTTCTTTTTCTTTTTTCTTTATTCTTTCTTTCTTTCTTTTGTTTCTTTTTTCTTTCTTTCTTTCTTCTTTTAGGGACCTTTGTTGCATAGAGTGAGCTTTCTTGTTTTTCATTCTTACTTTCTTTTGGTTTATTCTTCTTCGTGGGAAGAAATAAAGTGACTATTATTGTGTCGATGTGCTTCTCTTTACACAACCAAACTTATGGAAACCAACAACATGTAAAAACTATTTCCTCAAACTTCCCAGATAACAGCAGCCAATATGAATGTAAAACCCGGTCTGGAAATCATAGCCGTGGAAACGAATGGACGAGTGCACAGCCTAGACGGTGGTAACGGAGAAATCCTGTGGACGACTGAGATCCGAGGCAGTGTGTTTGCCGGCAGTCGTGTGGTAGATGTGGACGTCGATGGTCAACTAGACATTGTTGTGGCCAGTGATGAAGGGTAAACTTTTACTGTGGACATCGTGTTGCAGCTAGAATTTTTGATGTTTCATGTAGGAGGCGAGTTCGATTTGCATGTAGGGAAGTTTTGTTGGGTGTAGTAGATTTTGCCCTCTACTAGGCCAAAGATAAGAATGACTTGCTTTGAAGAAAGATTTCAAACGAACCTGCGGACTCTCTGTATCTCATCCATGTTATTCAAACATACAATAAACAAGATCATTTGTTGGGTACATTAACATTAGAAATAAGATTGTTCCCAGATCTCATTAACAGGCTTGCTTTTTCTCAAAAGAACGTAGTTGCCAGCCATGTCCTAACCAGTATGTCAGCCTCAGGATTGTTGGTCACTATAGTCTTGACATTATTCTTCTCTTTTCCCCATAGGGATGAGTATGGTTGGTCATCTGGTAATATTATTTCTTTTCCCAACAGGGATGTGTATGCTCTTCATGGCCTGGATGGATCCGTGCTGCCAAATTATCCCTTCAAGACTGGCAAGCGAATCAATGGAAATGTTCTGGTCACAAAATTTAATCTACTGACTGGACCATTTGACTTGGTAATGTCACAAAAAATGTTGTTGCTTTTCTGTTATTGTATTTTATTTACAGCTACTCAATCGGATGTAAAACTACTTTTTTGGGGGGTGGTTTGAGGTTTCCGTAGGCAGGTCCTACTTCTTTTCATTCCCTGTGTTGATTTCTGCCTGTTTTTATCAAGCTAGTTATCTTCTTGTTTATCCCAGTACAGTGGTCTCCTGTTTTACAACACTGGTTTTAAAACATTTCAGGTAAAAACCTAATTTGCCTAGGAATCTTTTTTTTGTTGGTTGTTGGTTTTTTGTTCAATTTTCTTTTGTCTCCCAATGACATGATTCTTAGGTGGAGATAACTGCATAAACATTGGGTTTTTTAAAATTTTGTAAATATTTAATATGAGTTTGACATTTTAAAACTATTTTTTCTCATCCACTGATGTTTTGTCACATCAAAATGTTTTTTCCGTTTTCTCTTACCCAAATGTTTTTTTTGGTGTTTTTTTTTGTTTTCTCATACCCAAATGTTTTGTTTTCTCATTCACAGGTGTTTGTCTCAGACGACGGCTTGCTTCACGTCCTGAGCAGTGACCACAGCTGTTACTTTTCAATGTCACTGGGCGACTCCTCTCTGGTCGATATCCTGTCACATGATGTCGTGCTGATGAACCGTGGGATAGAGTTTTTGGTGGCTACATCTGACGGTAGTCTCATCTGTTTGGGATCAGGGGTGGAGACGCCAGTTGACGAATTGTATGAGATGGAGTTCAGAGTCAACTGGCTGCGACTGGCTTCTCCTTCTGACTCTGACTCTTCCTTTGTCATGCATAAGGTAAACGGTTGTAGGTCAAACTGTTGTTGATTTTGTAGGTGTTTACCCTTTCACTTTGTTGTCGTTTGTACGTTTGTATTTAGATGATTTTGGCTTGTTTTTTTCCTTTCCAGTACACCAAATGTATTCGAGGGTGCAGACAGTTATGTTGGGGATGGGGGGGGGGGGGGGGGGGGACTGAGGCTAGTCTTTGCCACTTGAATTTAGCAAATAGCAATTGGAGTAAAAGACATGGATTGCTAGATCATATACTATTTAGAATTGTCAACATAAAAGTAGGATTTCATTTTTTGTAGTTTCATTTTCATTTGTGATGTTGGACTTTGACTGGCAATGTCAAGGACATCTGAGGACAAGGAAAAGTAAGAGGGGGGTACAAAACCCCCCCCCCCCAGAAAATCTCCCTGAAAAAAAATCTATACCTCAGCTTTAATTTCACATCAACTCTTCAAACTTGGATTTCTGATTGCCTTGTTTGCTGGCGTTTTAATTATCCCCTGATTTTTCTAAATCAACAACCAGTTTAGTTTTCCTTAAATGTTGAGTGTAAGCTGATAAATGCCTTCATTTTTATTGACAAAATCTATCAGAACAACACAAATGAATTGGAAGAGGAATGTGTAAAGTTAATGAATATTAATTATTACATCACTTGGCATAATAAATAAGGACCATCCCAACTTTGTATTACCTGGCATTTCTTTTTGTGAACTAAAAAAATATGCAAGAATTGTAAAAGTTTATTAACCTTGTTGATATAAGAATTTGAAAGTGTAGTGAATTCGCTGATGTTTTATCATTCCTTTCTTTCATCGTGATGAAGCACATCAGATGATTGTACCAGTTTTGTGGTGTGATTCTTGAGAAGAGAGTTTTTAAAATCTATTGTCACTGTCTGTGTGCTGGGATGTTTTATCCCATTCAGCTCAGGTTTACCCTAACAGGCAAAGTCAAAGTAGCTCATGTCTTGAGGGATCCTAATTTTGGTGGAAGAAGGGTGAAAAATTTTTTTGATAAATTAAAAAACAAAACAAATACCATCTGTTCTTGCAGACTGTGGTCATCATAGAAGAGAGAACGAGACGTCTCAAGGAGGTCACAGGCAGTTCATTTGATCTCTACTGTACAATATTTACTGAGTCGAAGGAAACCTTTGATATGAAAGTGAGTATCTGATGATAACAATTGAAGGACTTTTCGACGAAATGGCTCTTCTTTTATATTCTTCCACTTTTTTCCCCTTTAGATGCAGAGCTTGATCTTTCATTTTCAGTGATTTAAAACATTTTGTTTCAAAATTTGCTGAAACCCTTGATTTTTTTTTTTGTTCGGTCGTCTACAGATGATGAATCAAATATCAACTTTTGTACACTATTCACTGTTTGGATATACTACAGTTGAATCTGCTCTAACAAACACCTGTCCAAGACAATCACCTGTACAAACACTTCCCACTTTTCCCCTTGTGACTTTTTCTAGGACACTGTTACCCCCCCCCCCCCCCCCCCGGGCAGTGCCACTGACTGTAGTGTCTTTAGGCCATTCCCAAAGGGGGGACATTTCTCGTTCATGCACAGTAGAATTGTAAATGGGCTGATTCATCATGTCACGCTCATAACTGTGCCTGATCTACAGCAGGGAACTGCTGCTTTTTCTTTCCTAATCCTTACTATTGTCATTTCCCTCTATTTCTTTTGTATGTTTGTCACTCTCTTGTGACCTGCTATTTCCGGGGTGCCTTGATAGTCGAAGCAAACTTTGTGCTGTTGAAGCTGGAGAGGTGAGCAGAGTAATTTAGTAAGTCTGATTCCCTGTAAAGACTTCTCTGTTGACACCCATCCCTTGGCGCTCATATGACCTAATGCAGTTGCGAGCGCCGTAAAACCCTCTACTAAAACAATGACACTGTTCAAGAAAACTACCTGTCTAAGATGACCAGTGTGTGGTTGGCGGGTGCTCTGGTGTGGTTTGCTCCTTCTTTCCTATCAAACATCTATTGTCTTCATCTCCCCTCCTCCTTTTTTGTGTTTGTTACTCTCTTGTACCACCTCTAATAATCTTCGGCTCTTAATGACCTTATTGTGTTGCAAGTGCCGTAAAACTCTTACTAAAACTTAACTGAGATGACCACTTTTCACCCTGACAATGCAACACCGTCTTGGACAGGTTTGACTGTATAATGTTTTGGTTTCATAAAACCCTTCATTTGTTTTGACAGCTTAGGGCACATTTGTTTGTTTTCTCCCTCAATAATGATTGTTGTGGAAGTAACTGTTTTTAAGTGACTGATCCTTTTGGTACAGTAGAACATGACTATAGCCGCAGCGGCACCCACTGCAGCCAGACCATCCCTACAGCGGGACCTTACCGGAATCCCTGTTTTTTTCCTATGTAAACTCAGTTACCTGTTCTTGGGTTTAACAGGGCAAGGAAAGGCCCAAACTTGGATACAGCGGGAGAGATCGAACAAGCTCTAGCTGGGGGGAAGGGGGTTAAGGGGTTAGGGCTGTAGGTGGACTCCAAACAGGCAGTTAGTGATGCAGCGTTGTGATTGGCCAGTCCAGTGATGAGTGAGGTGTGGCAGGTGGCAGAGAGAGATGGTGCGGAGAGGCGCATTACGTGACCCACTCCAAAAGTGATGTGCCATAGTCCTAGGCCTAGACAAAGCCAAAAAGACAGTAAAAGAAGAAGAGAGTGTGTAGTGTGAGATTTTTCAGTATTTCCCCTTTGCATTCCTACAGCGGGACCTTGCCTCATCATCGTCATCAATGCCTTTCACCCCTGGCAGGGTATAGGCCATATACAAGCTCCTTCCATTTATCTCTGTCCTGAGCCATCCTTCCAAGCTTGTTCCAAGTGAGCTTCATTTCTCTCGTGTCCCTTTCCACGCATCTCCTCCATGTTTCCCGTGGCCTACCCCTGCCTCGTGCTCCTTGTGGATTCCACTGCAGTGACTCTCTTGTGATGTTTCCGCTGGGCTTTCTTAAGGTGTGTCCCATCCATCGCCACTTTCTTTGTCCTATTTCTACTTCTATGTCCTTTGTCCTGTCTTTTCCCACAGCTCTTCATTTCTTATTCTATCCTGCCACTTATTTCTTAGAATACTCCTCATACATCTGTTGATGAAAGTCTGGACGTTATTCAGTACTGTCTTCGTTGTCTTCCAAGTTTCGCAGCCGTAGAGGAGCACAGACTTGACGTTGGAGTTAAAGGGACCTTGCCTACAACAGGATTTTTGTTCTGGAACTAAAAGTCCCGCTTTAGCCGTGTTCTGTGTACTTTAGAGACTCAACAAGACGTCAGTTTGTGAACTAATACAGAACTGTTTAATATGTACTCACACACCTTACATATATACCCTCCTAACTCATGGTGAGAAGTAGCCCCATAAATTAAGTTATTGTTGTTATACTATTAGTGTACGTTCAGGTGTCATGCAACTAAGTCGCACCCACCGGGGCGGTGCTACTGACTGAAGTGTCTTTAGACCATTCCCGGGACGGGACGGGGGGGGGGGGACATTAAGTTGTTCTTATACTCAGTAGAATTGTAAATGGGCTAATTCAACAATGTCATGCTCGTACTCGTAATGTGTGAACTGCAGCAGGGAACTGCTGCTTTTTCTTTCCTAATCCTTACTATTGTCATTTTCCTCTACTTCTTTTGTATGTTTGTCACAGTCTTGTGACCCACTATTTCCAGGGTGCCTTGATAATCGAAGCAGACTTTGTGCTGTTGAAGCTAGAGGGGTGAGCAGAGTAAGCCTGATTCCCTGTAAAGACTTCTCTATTGACTTCCGTCCCTTGGCGCTCATATCACCTTATGCAGCTGCGAGCGCCGTAAAACCTCCAGTAAAACAGCTGCGTTGCTACAGTGCCTTCTTTTGTTCTGCTTCTCGTCCATTCAGTCTAGCCTGTAAACAAATTAAGAATTGAATCATTAAGTTGTTCTTATACTCAGTAGAATTGTAAATGGGCTAATTCAACAATGTCATGCTCGTACTCGTAATGTGTGAACTGCAGCAGGGAACTGCTGCTTTTTCTTTCCTAATCCTTACTATTGTCATTTTCCTCTACTTCTTTTGTATGTTTGTCACAGTCTTGTGACCCACTATTTCCAGGGTGCCTTGATAATCGAAGCAGACTTTGTGCTGTTGAAGCTAGAGGGGTGAGCAGAGTAAGCCTGATTCCCTGTAAAGACTTCTCTGTTGACTTCCGTCCCTTGGCGCTCATATCACCTTATGCAGTTGCGAGCGCCGTAAAACCTCCAGTAAAACAGCTACGTTGCTACAGTGCCTTCTTTTGTTCTGCTTCTCGTCCATTCAGTCTAGCCTGTAAACAAATTAAGAATTGAATCAACGCTTCCCTCTCTCTCCTCTTAACCCTTTGAGCCCTGTTCCCCTGAGCCTGCAGGAGCTGTACACCTGATCTCCTGTGTGTTACCTGCTTGATATACTCTACAGTATGCTGAGGCATGTATTCAGTGCACAAAAGGTAGAGGTAGTCACAATCTGGAATGCTTTTGGGTTCATCTGATTACTGTTACAGTCTAGCACACACATGAAGTCCACACTCACGTAGCGAAACACACACACAAAGAGAAGAGATCTACATGGCCCAAATGTTTTCTTATACGTATATTATCTTCTTTAAAATTAAAAACACATAGGCCTTCATAGCGAAATTTGTACATTATGAAAAAATTTGCGTCTCCTACATATTTCGATATATTATATGTGTGTGCTAGACTGCATTGTTAATCTATATATTTTGCTTTGTGGAGTATTGTTTGCAAGTATCTACAAAGCTTTCTCATAACACTAAACAACCGATTATTTTTTCTCCTCGTTTATTGTGTTTATACATTCTTCCCTTTATGTTCCATTATTGTTTTGTATTTTGCTCTGCAGGTTTACATGGGCAGTGAACTTGTGAATGAGAGGGCCAAAGTAACAGGCTCTTCCAACCCTTTGGTTTTGAGGATTCAAACTCCAGAACAACCAGGTCAAGCTCAGCTCACTGTCGTCATTTCTGACAAGAATGGGTTCACTTCATCTGACGCTGTATTTCTGAAGTAAGTTGCCTCACATCCTAGCATGGTTTTTATTTCTAATATGTTGTTACAATTCTGAATTTTAAAATGTTGTTATCCTTCATTTTTAAAATTATTATTCCCTTTGCAAATGTAACTTTATATGATTAACCCTTTCGTTGCCAGGAGTATACATTCTTACTGTCAGCACTGATTTTAAGCTATGCTCGTTATCCAGGACAGCAGTCTCAGGTCTCAATGTTAGTGGACTCGCTGTCTAGATATATCCCACTTGTGACATATTTTGGACCCTGGGTTTTTGTCACTTTTGTTACTTCTCTCATTCCCTATAGCCCTTAACTTTTTCATAATTTCAAATAACTTGCAAATCTAAGTCAAAAAGTGAAATTTTTTGTTTTAGTTGAAGTCATTTTGGTGATTACGTTTTACGAGAGTACGCAGCTGTCCACAAGACTGGACCTGTGTTTATCGATTGCTTTTAAGCCTAGCAGTAAAATACTACTAACAAATTAGGTACGAATATGCATGTATTTTATTCCCAAATACTAATCCACACAGTGCTTGTGGCTAAAACTCCATACAGAAAAATTAGAGCCAGGTGATTAGCATGATGTACATGTAATGTCATATAGGCAACCAGAGCGGAAAATTTTGCGAACTTCTGTGATGTCAATGGTACTGCACAGAGCTAAAAATCAGGATTAATTTCATGACGTATCAGGTACTTCCTAAGGCAGCAAAGGGGTTAATCACCAGCAGTGCAGATTGGTGACCTTGTCTATGATGATGAATAACATCTGTCTGTGGTGTCATGGTTGGGCTCTTTGCCTCTGCACACCGAAGACCTGAGTTGGATGACCAAGTGGGGAAGCTATTTTATCAAGTACCTCTGTCTGTATGTTTGTCTGCTTTGGCGTGCTGTATCCCTCCCAGACTGGGTTAGCCCAGGCGATGATCCAACATATGTTGAATAAAAATCATGTTCTGTTCTTATTTTTTTTTTTTATTTCTTATTGGGTGGCACACTTTCTTCAGGATAATGGAAGGACTTTAACAAGTTGGTGCTGTAATTGTCTTTACCTTTTTCCTTTTTCCTCAGGTTCAACCAGCTCATCCTGCTAGACCTGCAGTGGCTTGTCCTTGCTCCCTTCATCGCTATGGTCATCATCTTACTAGTCAACCACGGCTTCCCAGCAAAAGATCTTTTACCCGTCACATTCCCTACAAAATCAAAATGAGAAATGGTTAACCCTTTGAGCCCTACCTTAAACCCCCCCGCCCTCTGAGCCTGCAGTACTTGTACACCTGAGCTCCTGTGGGTCAACTGCTAAGTGCTAGATATTCACCAATGTACACTGAGGCATGTGTTTGGTGCACTGAAAGGTAAAGGTAGTCACACTCAGGCCTGCACTCAGGTCTCTCTGGGTATGTTGTCATGCAAAGTTATGATCAAAACACCATTTTTGCCCTTGTGCGGGGGTCAAAGCTTTGAGTTCTTTGAAAGAAAGGGAGAAAGGAGGAGTGGATGGAAACAGTTGTATGCAGTCTGGTTTGTGTATGTTTATAAAATCTTTTTATTAAAAATTAAAAAAAATAAAAATTATATAGGTTAAACTATATATTTTTTTACAGAGTGTGTCACTTAATTTTGATAATCACTCAGTGACAATATTGATTACTGTTGTGCAGCAGCAGTGAATGAGTTTTCCAGTCTTTGCTGACCCTGCTTATTTCATGGATTTTCATACAGCTGGACTTAGTGATCTCATGTCTTAAATGACTGTAGTGTTCCTTGATGTGCTAAATTGCAAAGTGTAAGGTCCCTTGCAACACTGCAAGATTATTTAAGAGGCAGGACCTCCAAATTTAACATCCATCTCCAAATGGGAAAATTCATGTAAAGTACCTTTCCCCAGGACATAACATCAGACAAAGCTGAATCTTGGGCACCTGAACTCGCAATCTCACGATTAGGAGTCCAATAACCTAACCACTAGACTGTACAATGTTGCAAGGGGTATTAAACTCTAATCATACCATATGGAAAAGATGGTGCTTGTCATATCATAATGTTCATTTCATACTTAAGATAAAAAGGTAGTTTCCTCAAGGTTCTTTTGATAACTAAAGTTCTGGCTTCGGTTGCAGAGCTATCTGCTTGTCCTTTTTTATGTTTAAGTTTATGTTTGCTTTTTTAAAAATCAGGTTTCTATCATGTTCTCTCTAGAATCACTTATCATTCCCTTTTTGTTTCCATGATGTATGTTCCATGTGTATCATCTGAAATGTAAGATGGCTGAGAATGCTTTATGAGTATTTGAATAAACATCTGTCTTTTTAAAATCTTAAGTGAATACTTTTTTGTGAATATGGTACTCTCACAAAATAGTATCTATCTTTGTATAACATATGATCCTTTTTTTCCCATGAAATATGTCCCTCCTGAATGCTGTATATAAGTCACTATGAGCGCAGTTTGCTTAATTGAGCCTGAAGTTTGGTATAAAAATTTGTGGATGTTTTTGTGGTTGAGTTGTTTTTTTCTTTTCGATTTTGCTTTTATTTAAGATGTTCCTTAATAATGAGTACCATGAAAAAATGGAGAAATAAAAAAAAAGTAAAAATCTAACTTTATTGTGTAATGGAATATTTTCTCTCTATATTGCATGCATGTACACAGGCAGACACACACACACACGCACACGCACAAGCACGCACATACACAGATTTTTGTCATCACAGGACTTATTCGTCCCTGTTTTATTAGTCCCATACACATGGTCCACTGACTGAAAGAAACAGATTATCTGAATGATTATAATCATATTATGCGAGTGGTTGGAGAGCACCACTGGTAGGTCCTACTTCTTCACTTTCCATCTGTTGTGTCTGTCTTACTTTTTTCCCAGCACTAAATGGCCATTATTGTGTCGATGTACTTCTCTTTACACAAACAAACAAACGTTCAAATATACAGTTAAAGAACTCTCGAAATTCTTTGCTTACTTTACCATAAACCATATGACAGAAGACTGAATGTGTGAATGGAGGGCGCCACTGGTAGGTTCTGCTTCTTTTTTTCCCTTTTTTGTTTCTGTCTGTGACACTCTTTCTTCACGAAAAAAGGCTGTTCTTTTCTTTCCCTTTGATATTTCCGTCTGTCTGTCTGTCTGTCTGTCTGTCTGTCTGTCTGTCTGTCTGTCTTACTTTTACTCTGCACTAAATGGACGTTTTTGTGTCAAAGCTTTTCTCTTCCTACACTAAAATTAAAATCCTGCGTAAAATGACCGTTCTTTTCTTTCCCGTTGACGTTTCTGTTCGTCCATCTTATTCTTTACTCGCACAAATGAATGTCGATGTGCTTTTCTTCACTCAAGCACGTTTCTTGAACTTGAAATCTATGTTTTCTGGTATATTTAGGTTGTGTCCTGGATACCTGCTGTCCGTCTTCTGCCCTACTTTGCACCGGTCACCATAAATAATGCAATGGTACTGTCTTCCACTCCGCATAGACTGAGAGCATTTAGGTGTATTAATAGCAGAAATAGTTGGCGATTTTGAGACAGAGGGATGTATGTGTGTGTGTGTTTGTGTGCGCGCACATGCGTGTGTGTGTGTGCGTAAGAGAGAGAAGGGGGGGGGGTATTCGGAAAAGGGGGGGGTGGTGGTGGGGGTGGCAAGACACTGGGTACCAGTACCAGCTGTTTTGATGATACTCAATTTGTCGATAAAAAAAAACCCGAACGGTTTACACGGTAGCTAGCATTTAGTGCAAGAGAAAAATCAAAACAAACAGAAAAGGGACTTGCCCGTGACACCCTCCCTCCTACGATCCATCAAATTGTGTATGTGTGTGACAACTATTGTAAGGATGAGAGAAAAATGAGCTAATACATGTACAGTGGAGTCTACTTATAATGAGTCCTAAAATAATGACAAGTCTCATTCTAAAACTCCGTTTTTTCTCTTCTTTATCTTTATAAATAAAATACTGCTATAGCGCAATCAGACAAACTCTCGAGTCGGTTATAGCAGAATATTGCTGCTGCTGTGCACAGCGCATAGGCCAATTATTATAATGTAAAACCTCGCAAGTTGAGAAACTTGTTGGTGAACTAGCGAAATAAAGAATGGGAAAGCCCATGTGTGCCAACTATGAAGGCCGGAGCGAATGAGTGGGGAGGGTGTGGCATGCGCAGATAAGCAGAATGCAACGCGTGATAGGCCAGCCTAGTCTAGATTATCTAGGTCTACCATGCGTCTCACTTCTCCGATACGGGGATGGAGAGATCGCAGTGATTTGATGGAGGCAGCGAATGTGTGACGTGCGCGAGCAGACGGAATGCACCACAGGGTGTGGTGGGGTGGGGGACAACACAGCGGGCGAGTTAGCCCAAAGCCCTTTCTTTCTGATCGCCAACGCCGAGCTGTCAAAATTGCTAGCGCTAGAGAAAGAAACCTGATCAAAGAGTTATTGTACCATCTTTGACCCGATTCGATTTTTGATCAAGTATGACCTAGAGGTCATGTTGAAACAAAATCATCATCAGGGGAAATAACAAAAAGAAATAATCAGAACACCAAACTCATAGATTAGGCCTACTTTATTATTTCCACTGAATTTATTACTGCATCCATTTTAATTTTTAACGAGAATCCTGCTATAACGAACATTCCGCACCAGTCCCCCCCCCCCCTCTTCTTATAACAAGATTCCATTGTATCAACATACATTTTAGCCTTCTCACAACTTTTATAAAGAGGTGGGTTTTTTTGTTTTTTTTAAATTGAGCATTTGAGACAAAAAAAAGCAAAACAAACTAAAACAAACAAAACAATCACAATATGGGTTTCTGTCAGTCATTTTCATAGTAGAATAGAGAGTAGTGGTTTATATCTATGAAGTAAATCTAGGCCTAGCCTATAGAATATTTGTTTTCTGTTCACTGCTGATCGCATATTTTGCTTTCACGGAAGACCCGGAAGGAAGTGCATCTGGCATCTATTCACGGAACGACGTCACGCACGGAAAAAAGTAACATGGCCGGTCACTTTTGAAAACATTAGGCTAGGTTACAAAATATGATTTAATGGTGTAATGGACCGCTTTCATATTAGTGTTGGAATCGTTGTGGTTTCAGCAAGCGCTCTGTTGGCGTTAGCGTTTTGGCGGGCTCTTCGTGAGGACGATGAAGACGATGAAGTAAGTTAGATATCTAGCCTAATCTAATCTAGAATCTTCTTAGTCTTACGAATATCTGGCCTTAAATGTTTTTCGAGGAGAAACAGATCCCTCTGACCAATGTAATACATACAAAAATGCTTGGCGGACACGCCGAAAGAAGGGCGCGTGTCCAGGTTTGGTTATTTTTTTTGTTTTTTAAAATGAAAATCAAAAGAATCGATTTTTTAATTTAAATCGGATTTTTTTTTCTTTTTTTTAAAATGTCGACACAGTTTGGGATTTTTTGTAGTCTAGATCTAGAATCTAGCTAAAAGTATGTTCTTCTAGTGCAAAATGCATTGTCTTTATTTTAACTAATGATTAATTTAAGCAACCGCAAAAGAAAGCCTTAATCTGCTATATCAGTGAATTATGGCTACAAACAAAAAATGAAGGAAATGTCATTCTAAAAGGAAAGGGGGGGGGGGGGTAATTATGCATAGATAAACTTTCATTTTATTACAGTGTGTGTGTGTGTGTGTGTGTGCGCGCGCGCGCGCTTGTGTTTGTTTAAAAAGAAAAAGAAAATGTTAATTTCAATAATGGAAAAAAAGTAAATTGAATACTGTATTATTTTACAGTGACAGGGGGGGGGGGAAGCAGACTTTTAAGCATGGTTATATTAGTCTACTAAACCTTATATCTGTTTAATAAAACCAAGGAAAGGAATTCTGAATGTTTAAATATGTAAAAACTGAATGCATAAAAAAAAAAAAAGTGGTTTAAATCACTGATCTTTATTTTAAAAATCAAGTTGATTAAAATATAAAAAAATCAACTTATTTAAATCAACCCAGCTCTGATTTCAATTATGGAAATAAAAGTAAATTGAATACTGTATTATTTTACAGTGAAAGGGGGGGGGGAAGCAGACTTTTAAGCAAGATTATATTAGTCTACTTAACCTTATATATGTTTTTATGAAACCAAGGAAAGGAATTCTGAATATTAAAATATGTAAAAACTGAATAAAAATAATTTTTAAAAAGTGATTTAAATCACTGATTTTTTTTTTTGAAATCAAGTTGATTTAAATTTTAACAAAATCAACTGATTTAAATCAACTCAACCCTGCGCGTGTCTGGCGAGGAATAAGAAATATATTATTCCAACCACCTCAGATATTTGCATGCTGATTATTATGAAGACAAGGTTTACTGATATTTTTTTTATTGGAAATTCCACACTGAGTTATGGACCAATTTAACACGGAAGCAGATGGTAACTTGACAGTAGCAATTGAAGGAGAGCTTCTGACAATGTGGGAAACGATTAAGTTGTTGTTCATCGCTTTTCCCACCTCCTATCTAGTAGAAAGGGGATTCAATACAGTGACAAGGTTGCTGACGAAGCAGAAGAACAAATCACGGATAATAGAGCGTGGCAATTTGCGTCTGCTACTGACCACTACCAGTCTGAAACCTGATGTTGATAAGTAGGTTTCGTCTCACCAAGTCCATCCTTCCCTTTATGACCGTGTCAAATGACTTCTCTGTCGTACATGCCTGCTCCCTAGTTTTTTGTTTGTTTCTTTTTCGTAAGTGTTTTACGGCGCTGGCAAATGCATATAAGGTCATATGGCCGCGCGGGACACATTAAACTTTTTCAGCTGGTAAGAAATATTGAATTTTGCCCTTGTGGCAGCCGAAGCCTTCTCTTATCGATTTAAGACCACCAAGGGATCTTTAATGTGCGCAACTTGCACTCAGGCCCCCTGAGAATTTTCGCTCTTGTCCCAGAAGGCTAGGTGTAGATCTTTCCTACCAGAAGATCAGGGGTGTGGCTGAAAGACAGCTTTAATGAGCCAAGGAGTAGAAAGGCTGCAGAAAGAGTCAGGAGCCCAGAGGAGGGAGTAAAAGTGGTGACCGGGTAGGGGCAGAAAGAGGAGACGAAAGCAGACAACAGAACATTGCTAGAGGATGTGAAAGGAGGCAATTTTAGAAAAGAATTTTTTTTTGGTCGCTACCCGGATTCGAACCCTGGACCTCTAGACCTCCGAAGCCCCCCTCCGTAGTTTACCCTCACTTGATATCTCAATGTGTTTTTTTTTTCTTTCTCCCCCCCCCCCCCCCTTTTCTCTCTCTTTTTAAAAAAACCAAAATACTCACGTGTTTAATGGAGTTTGTTATGTGCATGTGTTGCCGCTGCTGATGAAACGGATGTTAATGATGATGATGATGATGATAGTGATGATTTTTTGTTTGTTTCCTAAATGGACCTGGCGGACTCCACAAAGAAATCTTCGAGCGAGACTTTTTGGGCTCCATTGTCAATATGCTTAGCGGCACCTCCACTCGTCCAAATAACTCCATTCGAATTGCCATTGTTCCTGGACATTCAAACATATGTTTGACATCCTCCTTTTCATGGCCGCATCTTCGGCAACATGGACTGAGCTCTTCATTTACAAAGTTCTTATACCATCTTAAGCTCCAGTGAAGGTCCGACCGCAGTTTCGCTAGCTCAACCTGGTCCCAGCGACATGTGATAGATTTTTGTTCCCGCTTATAGGTGTACCCAGAATACACATCTTCCTGGTGCTGGTACTTAGCTCTACATGGTGGGTCTCTGATTTCCCTCTTGATCATTGGAAAGACTCCTCTGTATGTTGTTGGTCGTCTGTCTCCTTCAACCTCTCTGGGTTCATTAGCAGCTTGGTCTGCTGCCTCATTTCCTTCTATTCCAACATGGCTTGAAATCCACTGGGTTTTTATTGTGGCTGTGGTTTCACTGAACTTGCGGCGCAAATCATTCGTGTCCGAGCTGTTGCCTGAGGGACTGACTGTCAGTCAAGATCAGCACATTGGTTCTACTGTGGCAATTGTCAGCAATCCATTGTGCAGCAGACATCATTGCCTGGCATTCCTCATCATAAAATGATGTAAGGGAAGTACCTTTAGTTTTAAAAATTTCTGTTCGTGGTGGTTCATCATTTATTATCACCACTGCTGCTGCTCCACCTTCGCGATATCCTGCCACAGCCGATCCATGGGTGAAAATTGTCACATCCGCACCAACCCCTTTGATCACATTCTCTGCTGCTTCACGTGCCTTTACAGGATCATCACCTTTTCCCTTTACTCCTCTCAGTTCTGTCCGAATTTCGATTTCGCCATGGGCCTCCCATGAACAAGCTCTCACCAGATTGATCGGCCATCGATTCTCTGCTTCTGGGGGGAGGTGGTCTGCTAGATCGGTGCCCATCCGAAACCAACTTTTCCTGCTGTTTTTAGGCTTGCTTGCTTGATCAAGGGCTTTCTTTCTAGGATGGTTGTCTGGTAATCTCTTAGCCATCTCTACAGACTTTAAGCATGTTCTTTTTGTATAGGTGGTGTAGTGCTCAGTTCTGGTCTCATAGCACAGCGCTTCTGTTGGTGTTGTTTTCAGCTGACCTGATACAAGTCGGAGGGCTTTGTTTTGTATTCTGTCCTGGGCCTTTGCACTAGTCTCACTCAGCCAAGGCTGCCACGCTGAGGCAGCATAATCCATCTTGCTTTTCACAAACATCTGATATACTCTCTTGAGCGACTCCTTACCCAACCCCATTTTGAGCTGCTGACAGCACCGATAACCTTCATTTTTGAGGTTACACTTTTGGACACTTCCTCAATGTGCTTGTTGAAGGTTAGCTGTCTCTCCAGGTAGACGCCCAGCAGGCGTGGAGTGTGGTTGAATGGTATCTTTTTCCCTTCGATCTGAACTATTGGTTGCCACGTTGCCTCCTTCACCCATGTTGAGAAGAAGCACACTTCACTCCTGGTTGCATTCAAGGTAAGCTTCCATCCATTGCTCCTTTTCACAACCATGTCCACAATCAACTGTGTCGCTTCATTTGACTTTTCTCTCTTTGCGTGACTGGCCTATATTGTGCAGTCATCAGCGAACATGGAGTAGATCAGCTTGGCAGAGGTTAGTTGTTGTGAGTCGGGGTTTTGGAGGGATTCTGCAGGGTTGTTTATGAAGAATATAAACAGCAGCGGTGATAGTACACCTCCTTGGGGAAGCCCTTGCTTAAAATTCTGGCTCTTACATGTTTCTCCATTCAGGCGAAAACAGGCTTGTCTGTTTCTCAGGAAACCATGGATCCATCTGATTGCATGCAACGGAACTCCCTTGTCTGCCATTGACATTAATATTAATAGTGTTTCATGCCAAACCGTATCCTATGCCTTGGAGTAGTCCAGCAGGACTAGGACTGATCGATTGAATGTTGGCTTTTGGTGAAAACCTTCCTCAATTCCTTGACAGATTCTGATGATCTGGTCAGTGCAGCTATGACCTTGGCGAAAGCCTGCCTGAATATCTGCAATCCATCCATTCTTCTTTGACAGGTAGTAAATTCTTTCATCGTGCATCCTTTCTATAACTTTCACGACACAGGATGTCAAACTAATGGGTCGAAAGGATGTCATATCACTAGGTGACTTGCCAGCTTTCAAGAGAGGAATGATAAGTGCCTTACGCCAGTCTTGTGGGCACGCTGCTTGGATAAGCGACAGATTACATATGCTGAGCAATTCTTTCAATTTAGGAAATATGTTGGTATATCATAAAGTCCTGGAGCACTTCTTCTCTTCATTTGTGTTATGGCACGCTCCAGTTCTTTCATGATGAAGTTCATCTTCGCTGTTCACATCGTCATACAGTAGGCGCTTCAATCTGAGTTTGTTTCTTCTTCTGCTTCTGATAATGATGCTGATGCTGATGCTGATGATGATGATGATGATGATGATGATGATGATGATGATGATGATGATGATGATGATGATGATGATGATGATGATGATTTTTTGTTTCCTTAATGGGCCTGGCTGACTCCACGAAGCAATCTTCGAGCGAGAGCGAGGCTCTTTTTCGGCTCCATTGTCTATATGCTTAACGGCACCCCCACTCGTCCAAATGATGATGATGATGATGATGATGATGATGATGATGATGATGATGATGATGATTACAGACTAGCATCCATGCATACTTTTTCTTTCCTTTGGTTTCTCACATTTGAACATTGATATCTTTATGTTCTGCAATGGAGATAGTTGATATACAAATCACAGGCCATTTTATTGTAGCACGTTGATGTAAGAAAACGTTTCATAATGTCAATAATTATGTTTTTAAACCATTGATCACTGATATATTTGTGTGTTGCTTCTGTATGTGATAATACATGTATCATTTGTATTGATGTTAATGGCACTGGTCGTTTAATGCCGATGACAACTATCGGCATAAAATGACAGCATTTTGTTCTCAATGCCCTGGCATAATATAGATGAATAAGAATGTATTATTATTTTTCGTATACGCATGATTTAAGATTCTATAAAGATGGTGCTTTGTGACCGAACTTATGTTTCTATTCAGAACCAAATCATTAGAATGTAGGGTCGTTGTTCAGTACCCTGCTGTATGAGCTCTCTCTTTATTTGTTATTATTAATATACATGTGGCTATGTCATATTTAAGGTTGAGGCTGAGTAGGGGGCGCTGGGACTCGGCTGGGTGAAAAAGGGGGTGGTGGGTGAAAAAAGTTTGAAAACCACTGATCTAAATTAAAACAATCAAAGCTATGACAAATTGAGAACAATCATGTTTGTGTCTCTCGATGACATTCAAAGAGGGGTTTTTGTTCACTAAGCTCAGGTGGGTGAGATGCCTTTCTTTCGGTCTGGATATTGAGTGAGGGAGAAAAGATATGTTTGAAATCGCCATATTTTTTGGTTGGTGCTGGTGACTTGCAGTAGTTTGCTTAAAGAAATATACATTAATTTGAACGAGATTGAATTAGGAGTTAATTAAAAAGAGATTCACGATGTGCGCAGTAGGGCCTAAACTGTGCAATTAGCTTCATTAGCCTATCTCAATTTAAGTTCTGAATGCGGGCTCAATTAGCTTTTATAATTTGGTTGTACTAAACTAATCTAGGTAGTATAATTTCATGTGTTAATCAAATGCTGTTACATGTAGTATGTCATAAGAAATGATAGTTCGTCCACCAAAAACTGATTATGACGTTTAGGCCTAATGTCCAAGAAGGAAGAGAGGTCATAGAATAGATCTAGACCTTGCTTGCTACCACAGGTAGCCAGCATGGTAAAGTTTAAGAGAGAAAAGTCAAGGGAACATGAGCAAGCAACTGGTAATGGTCACAAAAGCCATATAACTATTCTTCAAAGCCCTTGTTTGCCCAAAGTGCGCTTGCTTCTGCCTAAAATCCTAAAACAATAACAGCCTATGTCAGATAGGTTAAACCTTCTTAATCTTAGGACATGAGAATATGTACCTTCAAATTAGATCAGTTACAGTTGATATTCTTTAAGTTTTGTTCTGAAAGATTACATTCTGACCAAAAAAAATCTGCATTATTGAACCATGCTGAAATGTCTCTACACAATTTTCTTTGTGTTCTGCCCCAAGGCTTCCCAGTTTGTAAGACTTGCCTCTCCGAAACGGAGTAAAGATGATGATAGACGACTGCAAATCAAACGGCGACGAGAATGTGAGTAAGGCTTTTGATGAAAGTTATGTTGACAAAAATGTATTCTGCACGGCGCACCAGCAGTGGGATTTTAGTTGCAGAGGGCAGTTCCCCACGGAGCACTTTGTAACGCCGGGATTACGACTGGGGTCGGCTCCCTGTCATCATTCTGGCTGGACTTATTTAATTTTTGGTACTTTTCAACTTAAACGTTTTTGATGCATTTTCGTACTTATGGTGATTATCATTTAATGCACACATGCATGAATTTCTATATTTGAGACTCAAAAAAGAAAAAAAAAAAAGAACGGGTACTGAAATATGTCTAGATCTAGTTACATGTATTTCGTCAGACCCTCTGAAGTCGGCAATGTTAAATTGTGGTTTGTTTCCACAAACATGGATGAAAAAAGAGTCTATGGAAAAAAAACTGCTTGTCAAAAAGTATCGATCTTTTAGAACATGATAAACATAACAAAGATGGGGGTACTCACTGAAAGGCATATATGTGTCTGGATGATAGAAAGCTGTGTTTTTGCACTTTAGGCCTAATTGAACAAGAGCTCAATGCGCGAAGAATTATTTTGTGACCCCGTACTTCCTTCAATACATTTTAATGCGTCTGACACAATCATGAATATTCTAATAGATCCAGTTCCCCAAAAGTTTATACGCTCCGGTCTCTCTGCCCAGAGGTGCGAATTGATGTACTGCCAAAATACATCTGCTGTGTAATACATTCACAATTTATGTTACACTGAAGACTAAAAGACTTTCCTTACTTTTTCTTTAAGACTTGAAGTTTCTAGGTTTTGAAGGTTGACTTTATAAAGGGGTTAACTTGAAGTAACTGGATTTTCAGAATTTTTTAAAGATCAGCACTAGACCTTTCTAACGTTTCTTTTGGTTTCTATGATCATTTGCAGAGAATGGGCATGTTCTGATTTCTTCACATTAATAAGTGCGCGGGCTCATTTCTGTCAGAGTAATTTTTACTCTGTCAATATATTGAGAATAAAATGTATCTGAATGTTTGCAGCGACGTCTGTGGTAGTAGCAGTTAGACGCTGGGCTGTCGCACGCAGGCAGACTTAAGTTCAATTCCTGAGGGGGCGGAACTTTTATCGAGTCTCTCGGTCTTTCTACTGGGAGGACATCAGAGCAGCGCACTTTCAAGAAAAAACTATCAAAGCCGCGCACTATCAAAGCGCGCACTTTTCTACGATACCGATACAATTAGATTGCTGATTAACAAAACCAGTATCATCCAACAATTTAGCTTTAGTACCCTCAGCGTTTTACTGGGCTTGGGACTAGGTATCAGTTAGATTTTGCATTGAATGAATAGGCTGTTCAGGTATAAAAACATAAATGTACAGGACAGAATCGATCTTTAAAGTGTTAAGGCAGCATTTTTTTGCTCATTCAGGATAAAAATTGAACTTGCCCGTTTGCGCACATTTGCTTGATAGCCTACACCGTCTCCATTCTTTCTTGGTAGTGCCTTTCTATTTGGTCTGTGTTTTTAGTTTCAGCTTAGAAATGGCCTGGAAATCGCTTAACGTCTGCAGAAAGATGAATAATATTTGAATGTGGGCTGTACAGAGTAATATTGTTAAGGGGATTGTAACCGTTGGAGGGAATCGGCAATCTAATTGTATCGATATCGTCAAAAAGTGCGAGGCTTTGATAGTTTTTTTCTCGAAAGTGCGCGGCTCTGATAGTTTCCCTTTCTACTAGGGTGCTATACATGTATCCTTCTCAGCTCAGGTTGGCCCTGGAGACAGGCAGGGTCAAATCCCACCTTCAAATGCTCTAAAGTGTGTATTGGGGTTGGGGGGGGGGGGGGGGGGTAAAAGCTCTACATTATAAAACGTGGTTTTTCAAATGTCTGTTTGATGTTATTTTTTTTTTTAATGCAGGCAATCATCTGTTTTATTTTTATTCACAAAATTTTGTAGTTGTTCTTTATGTTGAAGGGACGCCAGATAAGAACATTTCTCGAAAGGTTGTATCCATTATCATTAGCATTTTGAGAATTACACCGATGATATGCATTTTATCTAAAAGTTTGATTTACCTTTCATGGTAAAGCCACATCTTTCAAACACCTCGTCTGTCTTGCAAAATTCTTTTTTTTTTTTCACAGATCGACTGAGAAGTCCGAAATCGGAGCATAAATGTGAAGATCTGGGAAGTTTATTCAAACGGCAAAACACAGTGTAACCTGTCCTGTTTGGAAAATTCATCTGTGTAATGGATATAGAAAAGCATTTGATTGTTGAGTTGTGTTACTAGGAGAACAAGGATTTCAAGTTAATTTGATTACTTTATGAACTGTGATTAATGATGACAGGAATCACAAATGTAGTCAGGTTCTAGTGACACTGCATTTCTTAGCGCTGATAAGTAACTTTCAGAGAGAAAATTTGTCCTCTTTATTTACTCTTTTCATTTATTGATCAATGACAGGAGTGAGAGATACTTTAGAGGACTCATTTCTTGATGCCTATGACGATAAAGCTGAAGGTGATAATCGGTGCTGTTTGTCGGAATGGCCCAGATTGCTTTCGTGCGGGCGCTTGCGACGTAATGTCACGCAGGCAGATCTGCACGCTTTACTTGCTGAAGAAGAGAGAGACGAGTCTCTCAAGTTAGGCCTGCAGGACGATTTGCAACCCGACGACGATGTCAAAAGTACCGGCTACGAGACAGGTGTTTTTGGACAGTGGAACCATTTTGCTAGAAAAGACCCTTCACAGTTACTTTCCTTTGAAGAGCTGAGAGAGCGATCTGGATTGCCGAAATCACCCATGGGTCTGAAAGCCTTTGCAATGGCAAAATTTAAGAAATGGAAGAAAAAGGAGAAGACGGACAATTCGGAGATAAATCGGAAATCCAGATTTTCATCAACTCTCGGTAACATGTTTGTGTCTCGGCAATCACGAGTGCCCACTTTTAATTTAAAGATTATGGGACAAGACTGCACGCCAGAAATTGTATATCTGATCATCAATAGACATTTCTCAAAACGTTCTTCGTCCATTAAAGAAGAAAGGGCATCAAGACTGACTTTAAACGACATACAAAACATGGAAGATCTACAAACTGTTGTGAGTGATAGATCTATGTCTTCTACCTATAGACATACGCCTACTGTGACCAGCTCCATCACTTTTAACACAGTAGCAAGTGCTTTCAGCAGCACTACTAGCCCTGTGGTGAGGAAAGACTCACAGCCAAAACTTTCTGGTCTGCCAAGTCTGCTCTCGTCTGTGACTCAAGAACTGGAGATGGACTGGAAATCCACGCAATCTTTGGTCAAGACTTTGTGCACCTACATGAAAGCATATAAAGTCACATTAAAGGTTTGGAGTAATTTGATTAAAATGTTTGACAACAATGTTATTGATCACAACTGTTGATTGACTTTTAGTGTTCAGCATAATGAGCTGAAAAAGCAATTTTTGGGGGGGTCAGGCGTCAGGAGTCAGGAGTATGCTCTCCAAAACTGATTTTCTTATTTGGTTTCAGATTGCTCAGAAAGTGTTCATGTTCTTCAAATGAGCGTTGGATTCTCGTGGAAAAAAATTTGGTCACAGTGAAAGATCCTGGAACCTATACTTGTACCTCTATTTTTCTTCTCCTCCTCTCCGTTTTCCTCCTGCTCCTCTTCCTCTCCTCCTTTGCCTCCTCTTCTACCTCCTCTTCCTCTCCTTCTTCGCCTCCTCTCCTTCCTCTTCACCTTTCTCCTCCCCTTCTTCTTCCTTCCTTCTGTTTCCCTCCTTCTTCTCCCTCTTATATTATTCCTTTTTTTTCTTCTCCCTCTCCTGATCGCACAAAAAGGCTAACCAAAAACCTTTCCTTTTCTTGTCCACTGCTGGCATGAAGTTATAACCATATTATATTGATGGGAATTAAATTCATATTTCCCCTCTTATACCCCTCTTCTCTTGTTTTCATCCTCTCTTTTTTTTCTTGTTCTCTTTCATCGAAACTGCCTTCTTTACCAGTGATTAGAAAAATAATTAACCAAATTCAGGAATGAGAGAAACTTGCGAAAATACACTTTCAGAAGTGCTGTTGTTGTTAATTGTTTCCAAAACTTTTCCAAAACTCTGTACTATAACTTTTTTTTTTTATTTCAGGGAAGAAAAGTGGCTGACAAGTGGATGGTGATATTTTACACATCAAGCGAAAATTTGGACCCTTTCTCAGAGTTTTGCTGCGTGTTGGCGAGATCTTTGTTACAACATTACTGTGTGGCTTATGAAGAGAGAGATATCGCTGTAAAAAAGTTTAACTACTACACTGAACTAAAGGAAAGACTAGGTGGAAAAACTATAAGTCTACCGTACTTGTTTGCTTCGGGAATGTCGTTAGGAGTAAGTTTCTTTTGTACTTTTTGGTTGTTTGCAAAAAAAATAAATTTACTAGTGGTGTCTGTGGTGAAGTACATGTAGTTAGGTTTTTCACTGCTGGAGGGAGGCTGGAGTGTAATTGTTTATGGTAGGCAAAGTTTTTTTTATCAAGGGTCCCCATATGCCTGCTGAAGAAAGCTGTATCCCTCTCAGCTCGTGTTGGCTGGAATTGTCTAAATTGTGTCGATGGGTGTATAAAAAACATTTGCAATAAACAATTGAAGCAAAGATGTATTAATTGCAAATATTATATTACAGGGATGTGTTTAAGAACATATTATTATCTGAGCTCAAGTCTCTCTCTCTCTCTCTCTCTCTCTCTCTCTCTCTCTCTCTCTCTCTCTCTCTCTCTCTCTCTCTCTCTCTCTCTCTCTCTCTCTCTCTCTCTCTCTCTCTCCCTTCCTCTTTCCTTCTCTTTTCTTTCTTTCCTTCTCTTTTCCTTTTTTCTGTGTGCGTGCCTGCATGTGTGTGTGTGTGTGTGTGTGTGTGTGTGTGTGTGTGTGTGTGTGTGTGTGTGTGTGTGTGTGTGTGTGTGTGTGTGTGTGTGTGTGTGTGATCTGGAACATACATAAACTGCACGTGCATGGCCGTTCACTCAAGCTGTGTTGTAGCCATTTCCAGCCGTCCAAAAATCAAGACCTTTATGCCTGCTTTTAATCTCCCCCCCCCCCCTCTTTTATCATCAATCTTTCCGCAGAGTTCACTGAAGAAAATGGAACAATCATTCAATACTGACGAAGTAAATTTTTATGAAATTGTTTGATTTAAATTATTTTCGTCCAAGCTACATGTACTATGCTGGATAATGACTGTTGCTGCCAAAAGGTCCAACCTATAGAAGAAAGTTTTTATATTGTCATGGAATGTTTGGAATTTTTGTAGGAAAAAAAGTTTCATCTTGGGGTAGAAACATGCATGGAAATTAAAGGTCAAAATACAAATTTACTTGTCATAAACTCATGTCTTTTTAGAGAGTGATTTTAAATGTAAATTTTGATAAAACACTAATATCTGTGTGTATTATTAAATCATCCTAATTCTGCAACTTTTTTAGGGTTGCAAAGTGCTGTATGCTATCCACAAGTTGGACGTGATGGATTCTATATTAGGAAACTACATGGTAAGTACGTTCGTTATAGTTAACAACTTACAGGTCTGTTGTATCTGTCTTCGTCTTGGGTTGTTTGAGTCTGAAGCAGCAAGAAAAAGTTCTCTTAAAGGTGTTACAATTTTAGTTTTTTTTTATACTCTTCCCAACTCCTTGCGTAGAAAAATTGTGTCGCTGAGTGGTTAGAGGGATGCAACTGGTAGGTGCTCATCTTTTCTCTCCCTCTCTTGTTTCGCTTCTGTCCGCCTTGCATTTAAGAAAGGCGCCTATGTAATGCTGATTACATTTAGAACTGCTTTTAAGACATTTATCTAAATCTATTTTGCCAGCTAGTTTGATTTTGTTTCCAACAAATGTTATCAGCAGCACTCCTAGTGATAATCAGTTTGATTATATGTTCCCTTGTAAGAACATGCTTGTTGGTACATAAATGAATACGTGTGTTTGAAAAAATTGTTGTACCTTGAATGAGCTTTATGCTTAATTCAAGTCACTGTAAGTTGCCTATTTTTTTAAAATTGTGAAATGTCTAGAGACGCCCAGAGAGTTGGGTTGCATTTTATCGATTTTTATTTCCTTATTAGTATCACTATAACTTTTTCCCAGCTCGAAATCAATTATGAAAAGTATTTCTCTTTACTTAAATAATAGCGCAATTTTATATTGCCTTATCTCTTCTAAGCTTAATTCTGAGTTGTGGAAAAGACAGTAGTGGTTGTACTGAACTAGCATCCAATTTACTTTCACCTCTGAACATTGACTATGACTAGAGTGATTTTTAAAATCGTTCCCTCCCCCTTCTCCGTAGTAGTTGATTTCCAGGGTCCAATTGTTGTAACAACGACAAAGAACAAACTTTTAGTCTGTTCTCTTCTCCATGCATGTGTGTCTCTCTATGTGCTTCGAGTCATTATTTGACTCAAAGTGGTATAAAATGGTAAAGCTGACATGGAGTTCATTTTGATCAAAGGCCAAATCAGGATGGTCGTTTGTAAAAAAAAAAAAAATGTTAAAAGGAAAGAGGTAAAGATGGAATCATGGAATGTTGCAAACTGTACCGTCAGTACCACACCATTCCACAAGTGCCCAAGTCATTTTTTGAAGTTTGGAGAAAATCAAAGAAAAGAAGATTGCTCAAACTAGAACCGTGACTAGCCTCGAGTACGTATTTTTGAGTTAAGAATAAGAATTAGAGAGGAAATACAAAATGTATGTAGCGAAACAAAACGAAACTATGTTGAACGTTGCCTCTTGATCTCTTTACCTGAATAAATACCCCCCCCCCCTCAAGAAACAAACTGATTTAGGCGGTTTTGTTATTGTGGAACGGGTAAAGTGATGCACTTGTATAGTGATTGCTTTTTGCATGAAGCTACCCTTCTAACAAACATTGTTATCTTGAATTATTTTTTTTCTTTGTGGGTTTTTTAAATTCTTTCCTCAAAGATGACAAAGGAAATGTATAGCAAATGGATGCAGCGAGGCTATGAGAGGAACGTTTTGAGCATCAAAGGTGAGTAGGTCTATGATCAGATTTTGTTTTGAGTTGATTATTAATGTTCACAAATTTAAGATATTCTGTCTCAAGAGGCCCTGTCACCAACGTTGATATGCTGCTTTGATTCAGACTTTTAATTTTCTGCATACTGATCGTGAACCAGATTACTGTACATACATGTACTGTCTAGCATGCACATAGCAAACATGTGCGTATAAAGAAATGTACAAGTGAAAATGCACATAGGGGACAGATTTTCAGGTTCTGAATTTTTAAATTCTTTATATTCAAAACATGCACATAGTGTAGACAATTTTTACTTTGCAAAAAAAAAATTGCCGTGGACAAGGCTATATCTAATTCAACAAGAAAGTCAATTCAGAGTACCGAAATAACCATAACGAGAGAGATGGGGGGGG